ATCGATAGGCGGATTGGTGCTGCATCTGTAGTGATGCGGACGCTGAACCGGTCTGTCGTGGTGAAGACAGAGCTGAGTCAGAAGGCGAAGCTCTCGATTTACCGGTCGATCTACGTTCCTACCCTCACCTTTGGTCATGAGCTTTTGGTAGTAACTGAAAGAACGAGATCGTGGATACAAGCGGCTGAAATGTTTTCTCCGAAGAGTGGCTGGGCTCTCCCTTAGAGATAGGGTGAGAAGCTCTGTCATTCAGGAGGGGCTCGGAGTAGACCCGCTAGTCCTCCACATCAAGAGGAGCCAGTTGAGGTGGCTCGGGCATCTGGTCAGGATGCCTTCTGGATGCCTCCCTGGTGAGGTTTTCCAGGCATGTCCAACCGGGAGGAGACCTAAAGGTAGACCCAGGACACGGTGGAGGGACTATGTCTCTCGGGCTGGCCAGGGAACACCTTGGGGAGAGGGAAGTCTGGGCCTCTCGCCTTAGGCTACTGCCCCCGTGACCTGACTCTGGATAAGCGGATGAAAATGGATGGATGGATGGATATTTTTAAAGGTTTTTAAGGTTTCATAAAGAAGCAACCATTTTTCTAGCTGCTGGTGAACAGAGGAGCTTTGAACATGAGCTCTTGTGACCAGATTTACACTCCTGTTATAATCACCTTTTCAAACATGTTCACCATCATAAGTTATGTACATATCATTGCTTTTATTTCTTTTTACAGACTCCAGACAGCAGCTCCAGCAGTGGCAGGAATCTCAAAGATGTCTGGCATGGCTGGACTCTGTCTTCTGTTGGAGACAACCTCTGACAGAGACTTGTACTGGGCTCGTGTGTCTCTTTGTCGTTTAACTTGTTGCCACAGCAGAACCCACACAGTTTAAGCTCTAGTGAAATATCCAAAGGGGTTCGAAGGAAGGCACTTGATGACCGAGAACCTTCAGCTCAAGTGAAATAATTTTATAATGGTGCCAGTCTATAAGGGAAGAACAGTTTGGGTAGTTTGGTTCCTTTGTGTTTAGTGGGTGAAAATGTATTTTAACATGGCTATTCATCTTTATGGATCAATGATGTAAGGAATAAAAGAAAAAATTTCATTGAAAACCGTAACAATCTTTTAAAAGAAAGATAAAACAAACCTGCCATCACAGAATAGCCCACTGATTGTTCTATAAACATTACTCCACTAACACAGGCACCGTCAGGTTTCAGATGGGCCAATCAAACAAAATGAGAATCCGCACACTTCAATCTGCGATGTAGGAGTTTATTGGTCAAGCTTTTGGTCAGAGACCTTCATCAGGAAATGATGATGCAATTCCCAATGAAGGTCTCTAACCGAAAGCTTGACCAATAAACTCCTACATCGCAGATTGAAGTGTGCGGATTCTCATTTTGTTTATTCCACTTTTTGATGCAGCACCTTTTCCCAGATGAGCGGTGACTCCTTCTACTCTAGATGGGCCAATTAAACTAATGATTATCAACATAAGTCAATAGCAGAAACTTTCGCGCTAGACATTTTTGTCATTTTGACCGAGTTTAAAAAAAGGTCATGATCGTTTCTTCCCGTCATTTTCATTTCTGAAATAATAATATATAAAATTTCACAGTTTAATTTTCATTCATTTGTCATGAATATTTAGTCTAAACAAGCTGACCAGCGTGTCCAGCAACATATTAATGTTGCAACAATTTTTAAAGTAGGAACCTTACTCCTGCCGCATTATTGTTCTGGTTCTGCTGACCCGTGACCCCTAGACGCACTCTGAGCTGTTCCCCACAGCTTCTCAGCACACTGACAGTGAGCTGCTCTGATCATGGTGTCCAAGTCTGTGACAGCCTAATGCTCAGATGTTCTGATGGGAATCTTTTCTTGATCGGTTTTGTTACCTCTGTGATGTTCTCTCTGCGTAACGTTTAAAATGTCTGCACACCTGTATGCGTTGGGGTAATTCCAGTCTGTCAGAATCACCAACAGCCTTGAGATTTCTTCGTCAAAATTAACAATCAGATATGGAAAATATTCCTAGGCTTAGCAGCATGCATGGTTTGATCTGGCTGAATCTGAGCTGACTGTGACTGCCATAAAAGATGTTCTCCTGTTCAGTATTGCTGTCAGTGTTGACTCAAGGCATTTAACGGCCACATAACTGTGAATACGAACAGTGGTGTACATTTTCATTGTGAATAAATGCTGTCAGTTTAGCCTGGCCTTTATGCAGATGATGTGGTCCTGTTGGCTTCATCAGAACGTGATCTTCATCTTTCGCTGGAGTGGTTTGCAGCCGAGTGTGAAGCAGCTGGGATGAGAATCAGCTCCTCTAAATCTGAGACCATGGTCTTGATTCGGAAAAGGGTAGAATGCCTTCTCCGGGTCAGGGATGAGGTCCTGCCCCAAGTGGAGGAGTTTAAGTATCTCGGGGTCTTGTTCACGAGTGAAGGAAAACTGGAGCGTGAGATCGATAGGCGGATTGTTGCTGCATCTGCAGTGATGCGGGCGTTGTACCGGTCTGTCATGGTGAAGAGAGAGCTGAGTCAGAAGGCAAAGCTCTTGATTTACCGGTCGATTTACGTTCCTACCCTCACCTATGGTCATGAGCTTTGGGTAGTGACTGAAAGAACGAGATTGTGGCTACAAGCGGCTGAAATTAGTTTTCTCTGCAGGGTGGCTGGGCTCTCCCTTAGAGATAGGGTGAGAAGCTCGGTCATCCAGGAGGGTTTTGGAGTAGACCCGCTGCTCCTCCACATCAAGAGAAGCCAGTTGAGGTGGCTCGGGCATCTGGTCAGGATGCCTCCTGGACACCTTCCTGGTGAGGTTTTCTGGGCACGTCCAACTGGGAGGAGACCTAAATGGAGACCCAGGACACGGTGGAGGGACTATGTCTCTCACCTGGCCAGGGAACGCATTTGGATTCCCCTGGAAGAGCTGGCCCAAGTGGCTGGGGAGAAAGAAGTCTGGGCCTCTCAACTTAGGCTGTTGCCCCCGCGACCCGACTCTGGATAAGTGGAAGAAAATGAATAGGTGGCATGGAGATCAGCAGATGATGGATATCTGGGTCACGGCACCAGATGTAACCCCCTCTTTTGGTTCGATGTCACTCAGTGGACTGATGAAAACATCCATCACACCTCACTATTGCACATGGACTGGGTTGTCAAGTCAAAGAAAAGACTGAACTGAAGTGAAGCTTCAGTGCAGGCTTGAGAAGCTGGAGGAGGAGATAAGTCACTCCAATTGGTTGTTTCCATCTGATCCCTCCACAGACATGCGCATCAGAAGATTTCTCACAAAGAAGCATAAAATAAGTAAAAATGTCCCACAGGGCATTTCTTAAGCTGGGCGGACACTGTGCGACTTTTTCACTCGTAGCACTCAGCTTCAGCTCAAACTGTATGACTTCCTCGCAGGGCAGATCTCATGAGTCATGCGCTCACACTGTATGACCCAGTTCTCTGATGCAACCTGACTGCTCACACTGTACGTCTGGTAGCAACACGTCGGCCCTAAAAATATGCTAAAAATAGCAGTTTTTACACAACACGTCAGACTTTTTTGTCTTGTTTTGCCTGTTGTCCTTCGGGAGTGCTGCAGGAGGACACACAGCGATTTAGGGGGGTTGGATGAGGAAAACGAAATAAAGAAAGTAAATCTGTGTTTTGTGATCAGTTTAATTTGACATGAAAACGACAAACACGCTTTCTTGACAATCTTTGTGAGTAAAAAAACGTGTAGAAATAAAAACGAACAACGTGTGTTATTAGGGAAATAGCGGGTGAGCGGTGTTGATGCATGATAGCGCATGCTCCGTGAGCGGTTCTGATACATTTTGGGTCGCAGCTGCTCGCTGCGCCGCTTCAACAGTGCGATACCCTCACGAGGGACGTGCAAAATATCAAACACGCCAGAAGTCCGTGCCAGCTCACGATTGCTGATCGGTAGCTGGTCACGTGGTGTTAATCGCCTCTCGTAACCCCCTGTACACTACACGACGTTCGGCGCAAAACTTGCCCCGATCTCGTGGATTCTCGCATGAGTGGAAAATCGGCTCAAAAAAGTGAAAAAGTTGCACAGTGTACACCCGGCTTAAGTTGAGTCTGGCTATCCAGTTTTATTCATCAGCTAGCCTCCTGGCTGTTGAAACATTTATCTGGCAGACTGGTTAAGTGTTTCCGATCCAATCTGTTGTTCTTAGTGAAAATTAATGTTCCAGAGAAACTCTCACTTTGAGAGGTGGCAGGGCACCTGGAAGGAGATGCAGCTGACCTACACAAAACACAGAAACAGAGATGATCAGAAATCCAGTAGCAGAAACCAAAACCTGAATAAAAAGGAACAACTGATAACAAACTTGTCCTAAGAATAATTATATTTACAAAAAAAAAATTAAATGTTTATTATGAATGGTAAGAATGTTATTATGGATATCTAGAATATAACAATTTACGTGGAGCAACAGATTTATATATATCTGGAGTACATAACAATCTGCCAACTAAATATTGCTTGTTTTTTTAAGGATTTGGGTATGACTCAAATCAGTGCAGTTATGAGAAAATCTTACATAAAATTACTACTATACTACCTGCTGATATATGTTTTCAATTTGACTAGTAATAATACGATGTGGGCCTGGGATGCATTAAACAGTTGTTTTGTAAAATAGGGACATAACAAAGAGGTGTGGTTGTTATGAAATGTTAAGATGGTTCACTAAATTCGAATTCAGTTCATTGCCACCTGTTGGTGTTCTTATCAACAAGAATAAAATTAACACACAATCAACATTTTATTAGAACTGTCTATTTTTTAGTGTTTTAGTATTTCCTGCATTAATCAGCTGGAGGTTTGTGGTGAACAAATAGTTACTGAGGAATAGTTGTTGAGTTAAGGTTTTGCTACTGTAGGTAAAATTGGCGCAACAACTTGTGTAAATGCACCAGAATGCACGAAATGTCATCTACACAGCTTTGGGCACTCCAGACCACGTGGTGGCGGTAACGGACCGTTCGTGGTTCGCCCACATCGGTATTAACATGAAGAAGTAGGGGGAACATGGCTGAGCCGCAAACTGAGTGGTTCCGGAATTAAATCGTTGTCAGGTTCTGTTTAGGATCCGCGTGACATTTCCTTGATGATGTGGTCGTTTGGATGGACAGCAAGAGCTGGTCTCAAAACTCCGAGTCGCGTGAAACTGTGTCGTAAGAGGGCGGAGTGGAAAGGAGTCTACGGTCGCAAGCAGGGGCTCTGCACATCCAGCTCGTGTTCGCCACGGACAGCTCCGTGGAGGCTCATGTTCTTCGGCACCGATCAATTCGCTTTGGAGTCCCTGAAACTCCTTTCATCCAGCAGGTATGAGCGGCTGGGGTCTCCTGTCCTGCAGACTTGTGTCAAGCCAGCCTCCAGTTGGAGACTTGCAGTCAAGCCAGCGATGTGGAAACCGGATTTCAAAATAAAAGTAAACTTCGAGTGAATTAACAGATATTTTAAGAACATAATAACATATAATTTAGGCTTATTCAATAGAAGTGGCCTGTCAATATCAAGGTCATCTTATTTTGGATTTCAAAGTAAAAGCCCTGTGAATTTTCAACTCAGTCTGATGTTGCCTTCCAAAATAAAGGCCATTGTAAATTGCCCATATACGACCAAACTTTCAGTGATTTCAAAATGCTCTAAAATGGAAAATTGCTGTTTCCACAGGGTAATTCCACTTTAGATCAACAGTATACAACCCCACAGCGAAACTTTATAAATATCAAGTCATTCTGATGTTGCCCTCCAAAATAAAGGCCTTTTTAAATTGTCCACAATTGACCTAATTTTCAGTGATTTCAAAATGCTCTGAAATAGCAAATTGCTGTTTCCACAGGGTAATTCCACTTTAGATCAACAGTATACAACCCCACCGTGATACTGTATCAATATCAAGTTATTCTGATGTTGCCTTCCAAAATAAAGGCCTTTTTAAATTGTCCACAATTGACCTAATTTTCAGTGATTTCAAAATGCTCTAAAATAGAAAATTGCTGTTTCCACAGGGTAATTCCACTTTAGATCAACAGTATACAACCCCACAGTGATAGACAGTGATGTCTGCATATGAAAGGTTATCTTGTGGTCAGTTAGATGGTGAAAAATTGACCCTTTGGTATGTTACAACTAACTACTTTTGACAAGCTAGTCGGAGATCGTCCCAGCTTGTCTAGTTTTTCTCACACACCTCTCAGTGAGTGGTTTGATCCAGCAGATTTCTCAAGCTCATACTTGAGCATCGGTGGCAGGTTTTTCTGTAGGAAAGCAAGCCTTTCTGCTCTCTTGCTGTGAGCCTGTTTTCGACCAGGAAGGTGGAGACCGTGCTGAACAGCCCTTCAGTGCCAACACGAGTTAGTCCAAGCCACGTAAAATAGAAGAAGATGAGCAAAATAACTGGATTAAGGCTGGAGTATTGGGGCATTGCAGCCAGTTTAAAAGTGTTGTTTAACACCCAGATGGGGTGTTTATGTGGCGGATGTGCTGCTGTCTTGTGTAAGATATTCTGAGAGTGATTCTGTTAGAGGCTTTTCTGGTAGAATTGTTACACTAAATGTGTGGCTCCATGCTTGTGAAAACCAAGAGGGTGGTTCTATAAAAGCATGCAGAAAAGGACACCCTCCTCAACAACAGTTTCATAATAAAATTATTCAAATTATTGGTTCTGTTTTTATCCAGGAAATCCAGTGAAGCCCTAGTGGAGACCCTTGAGGTTGTGACATTGTCTCAGGACGTTCCTGTGAAGAGGTTTGCCCAGCAGAACCACCTTCCACTCCACAACTGGCCCCCCGTCATCGCAGAAGGGCAGTTTGATGTTGGTGTCATCGTATCTTTTGGCTGTTTGCTCCACCAAAGAATTATCAACAAGTTTCCATAGTGAGCATTCATTAGTAACGACCACATCTGTTTTACCTGTGGAGCGGGGATGCTACTAATAAATATTTCAAATACCAACTAGTTCATTTGTCTACAATGAGTTGATTTGTCAGCTCTATTAAACAACTGCTTCCTGTGGGTCCGCCTCCTGTTGTGGGCGCCAGTCAAGGTCTCACCTCACCTGCTCTGGTCCCTAAGCCCATGAACGCCACCCTGAGTCTCCTAACAGTAAAAAACTGAAACAAGCACCCGAGACCCTGATCTGAACGTAACAAATCCAACATCAGCATTAGATCCACACAGAATAAAGGCATGCTGCTGCATCGTGCTCCTGATGTTTCTGCAGTGATGTTTCTGTAGATGGAAATCATCTGAATTCGTCTTTGTTTACCCAAAATCTAAAACATAAACATGCCATGCAGTATACCGGCAGCCATTTGGGACCAGCCTCTACGAGAAGCTTTAGAACATCTTGATGATCATAGACAAGGACCCGAGGAATCAGAACCTCATAAGTGACTTTGTCAAGTTTTAAAAATCCAATAGGCTAAATGGATATGCAGATTACAGTTGCAGACTATGGAAAATAAAAATATTTTCACCATTTATTTCCTCTTTTGAGTGTAACACAAATCTAAAATGGGAAATAACTGTTTGTAATTGTGCATGTATTCTTGTGCAAACAATTTTTTGCAGTGGGATTTTAAACGTTCACCCCAGCCTGTTGCCAAGGTGGCGAGGTCCAGCACCAGTCTTCCACACCATCCTGCATGGTGACACAGTGACGGGAGTAACCATCATCCAGATACGTCCTCACAAGTAATTAAATAAAAGCAGCTTTGCTGTTGTTTTTCGTTTTCACCACAGTAAAGGAAGTGTTGGTCTGAGCAGTTCCTGAAGAAACTGTTGGAACTGCTGCCTTAGTTCAGGAAGACATTTTTATTTTCAAGCACCTTTTAAGATAAAAATCATGAGGCACTTCACAAGCACGATAAAGAAATTAAAAAACATGTTTTTTAAATGCCCAAGAATATACTAATTACCCAGAAACACCAGACTAAGTAAGAAGAGGTAGTAGGTCACAACATAGCCAGCCTTAACAAATGAGTATTTTAAAGGAGACCACTGAGTCCACTGATCTCAGACTGAGGGGGAGAGAGGTCCAGAGTCTGGGGGCCACAGCAGCAAATGATCTGTCACCTTTGACCTTTAGCCTGGTGCTGCACAACCAGTAGGCTTTGATCACTGGACCTCAGGGACCTGCTGGGGGTGTAGGGACTAATAAGATCACCAATGTAGGATGGTGCTTGTCCATGTAAGGCCCTATAGACCAGAACCAGGATCTTGAAATGAACCCTGAAGTAGAGGTCTGTTTTTTCTATTGTCAATACCGATACAGATATGTAGAAGACGTGGTCAGCTGATGGCCGATATGTAAACACTTTATTTTCATGCTAAAATGTCATTCATCAGTTGATGCTCCAAATCTCTGAAGCTGAATTAGTTTTTGAGCTCTGAATTTAACTAGCTGTTAAATCTGAACTTTGTGGACTGCTCAGTAATAAATAAATAAATTAGGTTATTTATTATGCAGATGTTATTGGTAAGCATAAAAATATATTTAATATAAATTTGCAGCAGGACTGGGCTGCCCAAAGATGAGCCTGACTTTAAATTGACTTTACTAAAAACAAATATCAACCGATGTATAAAAAACGGTAAATATTGGCCCTGGCATTTTTACTGTGATTGCCTGTTTTTCTGTAAAGTCACAGAAAAAGAGAGATGTTCAGGTCAAGCAGGCTGCTTCATGCGCGTTCACGCTCAGGCATAGCCCTCCGAACCGTTCTTTGAGCGTTGTTTCAGCTGTCATCAAGGATTATAAATGTTACAGATACAAAAGACGTCATTAGTGCTTTAGCTCACCTAGTAAGACGTTGGGCTTTCGTGCAGAAGACCTGGGTTCGATTCTCAATGTGATTAATAGTTCATTAGAGTTTATTTTTTACATTAATGATATATTTTTTTACTGTAAGATTTTATTTTTGAGACTCGCCGAACGGCATTGAATTCACTGATAAAAAAAATGTGGGTTCAACTTTCGTTTTGGAACAATTTTTCAAGCAAGGGAAGGCCATGATCTGAGCATGCAGGAGGACTGACCCATCATAAACCTTTGTCGGCTGTGCTGAAGAGAAAGGTATAGAACCAAATTATTTAATTAATTAGCTGCGCTAATTCTCCTGCCCTCTGTCCCCCCCCACACACACACACACACACGGGACTGTCTCAGCCGTTATTTTCGTTAAGGAGTGTGCACGTACAGCATGTGCGCCTCGTGCACGAGCCTACTATTGAAGCTGCCGTTACGCTTTTGGCCTGAGGGGGCAATCGCAAGCAAAAAATTCTAAACTCTGTAAAGTCCCTTTAAACTGATCACAAAACACAGATTTACTTTCTTTATTTCGTTTTCCTCATCCAACCCCATAAATCCCTGCGTGTCCTCCTGCAGCACTCCCGAAGGGCTTCAGGCATGACAAAAAAGTCTGACGTGTTGTGTAAAAAGTACTATTTTTAGCATATTTTTAGGTCCGACGTGTTGCTACCAGACGTACAGTGTGAGCAGTCAGGTCGCATCCGAGAACTGGGTCGTACAGTGTGAGCGCATGACTCGTGAGATCTGCTTGCGAGGAAGTCGTACAGTTTGAGCTGAAGCTGAACGCTGCGAGTGAAAAAGTCGCACAGTGTCCGCCCAGCTTAAGATTTGTCAGGTTACAATAAGCTAAAAATAAATTTCAGGTGTGAGATAAATGTTCGTTTTTGGCCTTTAACATACAAAGAATGTACAGCTTTATCAACTGATAAGAGGTTTTAAAAATATACAGTTACTATCAGTAAATCTGAGCAGATGGGTGGTGTTTGAGCTAGTCTGCAGTTGGGTGTGACTCACACTCAAAGAACAACACACTCAGGCTTTAATTTCTGTCTGCCAGAGAAGCAGGTTTGATGTATAAAGCTCCAGCAGTTACCTTACTACAGTGCTGGACCATTCAGCCATTAGCATTCCAGTTTAGCTCATTACCACAGCTAGCATGTCCCTTGCTATGCTTATTCAGACACCAGTGAAGTTCTCTACATGTTCACCAGTTGTGCTGGTGAAGGGTCTCAGTAACGCTAATGCTAATGATGGCTGAAACAGCTGGTTTTTGCTGCTGGATAAAAATAAAGACGAAACTCGTCCATGACTGATAAACGTGATCTAAAGACAGTATGTACCTTAGCAGAAACTAGAATTTGAAGATGGGTAGACAACTCACTAAAACATTAGAGATTATAAATAGAAAGATATAAATTAGAGAATATAAATACTGTGGAAAGACGGTTTGTCTTTACACAGTAGTAATAAACTAATTATTTTCATTTTAAGTCATTATTTATTTGCATTAATAAAACACTAATTTGTGCAAACAAAACAACAGAAAATAATTATACGAATTTAAATGTTGGCTGATTTCTATGTAATAAAGTAAAGCAACATTGTACACAGGTAGCATCATTAGTTGCGTTTTCCTATCTTAACGCCACCCAAAAACCTCTCCATCCCAAAACAGCAGGGCAGAATTTGCCGTGGTGTTGAGCGGACAAGACACACGACAGAGCCTCACTCCCGAGGCTGCGGGCCACCGCTAGCATTGATGCTTGTTAGCATTGAGCCTCATGGGTAACACAATGTTGTCTGCTTTTTTTTGTTTGGACAAACAACAAGATACTAGTTCTTACCTGTCTAGGAGAACTCTGCATGCCTCCTGAAACGGATTTGGTCCAAACGTCTCCACTTTTGAAAATAGTTTCCACTGTTTAGCTTCATTTTATTTCTCCTGTTGTTCTTCAGTCTTTGGGAAGGATGGACGCTTCTTATGTTCACAAGAAAATCCTTCTGTACTGCTCCGTGTGCTGGCTTCAGTTCTCTCCACAACACTGTTTCAACTAACCAGGAGGACAGAAGGCTCCTTCTGGCTGGAGATTGGCTGCTGGTGGAGAGTGGAGGCCAATAACAAATGCAACACAGCAGTGGTGTTGGAGACGTGGTAACCCACCAGGCTCAAATGTGATTGGCTCTGGAACCAGGAAGAATGCTTGTTAACAGAAAGGCTGTCACGACCCGGCAGAAAACCTGGTATTCCCCCAGCCAGCTGAAAAGGAGATCCTGTCATTGTAACCTTACCTGCAAAGTGATAGACTCACTGGACTGTTTTGTGATTATTTACTGTCCAGTTCTTACATAGTTCACCTTTAAAAAGCAGCTGAAAACTCGTCTGTTCAGGCTGGCTTTGGTGTCAACTCCTGTTCATCCTCTTCTTCCTAACTTTTAAAAACTTTATTGTTCTTGTGAAACACCTTTTGATTTTTATCTTGAGAGGCGCTATATAAAAATATCCTTTCTTCTTCCATTTCTTCCTCGTCGTCAGGTTTGACGTTGGTCCCATTCTCAACCAGGAGCTTTATCAGGTACCAGAAAACTCCACTGCTGACGAGCTTGGAGCTGCGCTAGCTGTTAAAGGAGCTCATCTAGTAAGTAGTTGGAGACTGGAGACCGTTTATCAATACAAATGTTATGTAATGATTCTGTTCATTGATCCTTTAGCTGATCGATACATTGAGGAAACTCCCTGAGAGAATTGAGGTGAAACGGGAGCAAGGGCATGCAGGTGCAACATTTGGTATGTGGTTACTGACTCATTTATAAACAATAATAAACAACAATGTAACTCAAAATAAGCATTTCACTTTTGTCCAACAGCCCCTAAAATTAACACAAACATGAGCTGGGTGTTTTGGGAGGAACAAACCTGCAATCAAGTTACTCGTTTGTATCGTGCAATTGGATCACGGGTAAGGATTTTGGGGGGTGGGGGTGGGTGTAAATTAACGTTTTGATTGTTTCTATGTTGCTTGTTTATCAACAGATACCTTTGAGAACTACATGGAGGGGCAGAACAGTGAAACTTTTAGATTTTGTTGGAAAGTATCACGTTTCAGGTAAGTCTTGAGTTTAACATTTAATTTACTGAATGCTTGCTTATGGATGCTAACTTTGCGCTGCAAGATGAATTCTCGTGAGATTTGGAGTTTTCCCAATTCAGGAAATTCCATCTTTTACCGCTCCAGTTGAAACCGTCTGACCTCTGGACTCAGCCGAATATACATTTTACTGATGCGCGCGCGCGTGCGTGCGTGTGTGTGTTAATGTTTTCAAACTGTTATGGGAATTTGGGGTCATTATGTAAAGCACTTTGCTTGAAAAGCACTTCATAAATAAAATCTGATTAATTGATTGATTGATTGATTGATTGATTGATTGACCTAAAATAGGCCGGACCAATCGTGTGTCAGCACTGTGCTGTAGGGTGGGACTTAGTTTTGACGATAGTATCAAGCGCCCGGCTAAGCAAAACAAACATGGCCGCACCGGTTGGCGCTAACAGCAAACAATAGTCACGACGGCAATATGGGGTCCATGGCCTAAAATGGTCGCGATTGTAGTCATTTGTAGTTTAACGTATAGCTGGATGTGTAACAGTTGTAAGTGTACATCCACTAGGTGTCAAAGAGATAGCTCAACTGTTAGGCATCTGCCGTACACGCTGGGTTCAAGCCCAGGCAGGGACAGATGAGCTTCCTATTCAAATGCATATGGAAAGGTTTCTTATTCCACTAATGGTATTTTATTACATTAATGATATATTTTGTTTTACAGTAATAAGAAGTTTAAATTTTAATTATTAAACGTCCAATTGAGACGATGTCACAGTCAGAAAAGATGCCGGTTCAACTTTCATTTTGGAACAATTTTCAACCATGGCGGAACGTCGCGGGCTGGACCGTGAGAGCAAGGGAGGGGGGTCGGGGTTGCTTTGCACCGCTACCGTCTCTTGTCAGTATCAGCAGAGGGGAGGCCCGCGGTTCACTTCGCTGCCGCGTGTCAGATCTGGAACCTGCCTTCCCTGGAAGTAGGTCACCGACACCCGGTTTCTCAGAGTTACAGGCGTTGAGCGATTGATTTCATGCTGCAGTTGAGAATGTGACCTTCATGTCACAGATGACTGCTTCAAACATCCAGCGGTACCAGAGTGGAAATTCTGACAAATTACTTCTGTATTAAGAACTTAACACAGCCGTAAAAACCATGTGTCCTGAGTAGCCCAGTGGTTAGAGTAACTACCGGGCATGCTGTTTCGCTTTAACTTTCCACGAGTTTAACCCCCGGTCTCAGCAGTAACTAGTTACTCTTTTTCAGCTACACTTTGTTTTCAACCCTTTATTGGTAAACTGTTTGAAATATGAGGACTAATCTTTTTTAATTTTTTTACTTTTGTTGTTTATTTAGCCAGTGTGAGTCAGGGTATCCACGGGTCCTTAAAAAGTCTTAAATTAGCTTTTCCAAATTTAAGGCCTTAAAAATCCTTAAAAATGACAAATAATCCACAATGTTTCCAAAGGTCTTAAATTACCAAAGACCCAATAAACAAGATTATTTCATTTCTATGATATTTTATTGAATTTCTAGTTAGTGTTCAGCATTTTTTGTGTACGATGTTGGCATAAGCGGAACCGTACACATTCAGTTGGTTGTGAAAGGGGACTATTTTTAGATGAGCACATTAGCTGGTTAAGCTAGTGGGAGCTTGCGCCATGGTGAAGTGCAAGTTTAATTTTAACTGGATGGCTAATCCCACGTTTGTGACGTGGTTAGCACCAGTTCCAAGCAATAGCTGGAAATTATAGCTTGAATTTAATTTAAAAAATAGCTTAAATTTGATCAAAGTGGCCTGAAAAAGGTCTTAAAAAGTCTTACATTTGGCTCCCTTAAACCTGCAGATACCCTGGTGAGTCCATGTGAGGTGAAAAGAGTAAATCAACTAAAGTGTTGCTTGGAAATGACCTAAAATATAAAAACATTAAATCTGCTTCAGCTGGCTAAGTAAATTACTGCAAACTAGGGCTGTCGCGGTAACCGCAAAAATGAAATATCGCAATATGAAGAAACCCACCGCGCTGCATCATGGGCCTCCGCGATTACTGAACTTGGTTCAACTCAATGATGCATGTTGAGAAGGATGGCTGCACTGGTATCAAAACGAAACATTACTTCGCTCCTTTGGGAGCACTTTGGTTTTCAGTACGTCAGCTGCTGCGCAGCCAGAGTCCTTGGCCGAGACAGAGCTGCCACCAGCGGCAAAAATAAATAAATAAATAAATGCTCGGAGACCTGCTAAAGTCCCGGACAAGCACTGCTTCTGCAACCGTCCCGAAGAGAGTTTGAGCCGAGCTGGAGCTCACTCGCTACCTGCAGGAGGAATGCATCCACCCTAAAGAAACCCCCTGACATGGTGGAGCAACAACCGGGAGAGATTCCCTTTGCTCGCCAGAGTCGCACGCAAGTACGTGTGCGTTAGTGCAACGAGCGCACCATCCGAGAGGGTTTTCAGTGTTGCTGGAAATGTTGCCACCCCTCTCAGATCCTCTCTCAAAGCGCATATGGTTAACATGCTGGTTTTCCTTGTATGTAACAAGGACGTGACCGAGCTATAAATCACTGTCATTCGGTGAAATGTGTTGTGCGCCCGCCCCCCGGCGCGCGCGCGCCCGGTACATGTAATTTTTCATGCTTGATTTTAAACAACTAAACAAAATGGGGACTTGTTTCTTATTTGTTAGATGCTGCAGCCAAATTTGCATTTAAAAGTTTAACCTCCTGAATTTTGTTGTTTTTAAGTTCAGTCGGAGTAATTTTCACTTTAGAAGTGGGGGGGGGGACACGGGGGTGGGGGTATCTTTACAGTATGTTCTAATGGGAAACAGGCTTCAACACAAACGGTTGTTTTCTGCTTGGTCTTAGAGCTCAACCAGCGTCAATTTAATATAAAGTAATATTGTTTTTGGATGGTAAAAAGTGCAGGGGTCAAAACTTGACTTTGTAAAAAGTGGGGGGGGGACATGTCCCCCCTGTCCCCCCCCAAAATTACGTCCATGAGTCGGACTCCGACTGTCGGAGAAACAAACGTTACTGCGATCTGTGTTGTTACTGCCCTTTGATCTGCATTCAGTAAAGTGTTATTAAAGAAGGCACGGCAATTTTTAACCTTTTTTAAATGTGTAAACATTATGTTTAGATAGTACTGCAATAAAAAAGGGCTGCAATAATATCGCACACCGCAATATTAAGCCACCCTGAATCACCGCAGGGGGAATTCCTCAACCGCGACAGCCCTACTGCAAACACCGAGAGTTGAATCGGCATCAACACATGGAAAAACAAGATGAAAGGCACACACTTTAACCACTGGACCACTATGGCCAATACAGCAACAGACTTGCCCAACATCTGTTGTAGGTGTGTTTTGTTAGAGCGGGCGTGGGCGGAGCTTAACTGAAACAGACCGTATCATTTCCAGGTATAAATTCAGGCTGACAAAAATAACTAATATTTAAGATAAAATAATATTTCAATAGTGGCAACCGTAACATGTTAGCATATATTGTGCCTACCTTTCCCATCAAAGGTTTAAAGCAGGGGTGCTCAGTAGATGGCCCTGCACGCGAGCACCCTCTTTCTGGCTCCCGGACCACCAGTACCTGGGGGGCCACAGTATCACAGTATGGTGCTGCCAAACTGTGAGCCCCACTTACTTTAACAGCACCACCCATTTTGTTTCTTCTGAGGGTCCACCATGAAAAACACTTTACAATAAACGCTAACCAGGTATAGCTAGTCTGTCTTGAGGAGTAAACATGAATTACCAAAAAGCGCTACTGCTTCACACAAGATGAAGACACAAGACTTTGCGGAGCGGTCTGGAGACTCTGAAGTTAAAAGTGTGATATTTTGGCCACAAAGGGTGGTGGGGGCTAAATGACTTCTCATTAACCCTGTAAAAGGACATTTTAGCACATACTGTACATACAGGGTGACGGTGGCACAGGAGTTAAGTGCTCACCCCATAATCGCTCAGTCTGTCGACGTGTCCTTGGGCGAGGCACTGAACCCCCCTGCTGGTGGAGTTCGGAGGGACCGGTGGCGCCTGTGGACAGCAGCCTCGCCAGCTGTGGCTATAATGTAGCAGCAATGTATGTGTGAATGGGTGAATGACTTATTTTGTTGTAAAGCGCCTTGGGGGGTTCCGGGACTCTAGAAGGAGTTATATCAAACACTGGCCATTTACTGGTTCATGAAAATGCTTTCAAACATGAAAACATTGCATAATATGCCTTTAAGTGTTGTGTTTATTATTGGTCCATCTGAGTGATGTAACTTTGAACTTTATTTCTCATACAGATCAAAGACATCAGACCCCTGGATCTGTGTTCTATGACAAAGGTTCCTGTACGCTGGCTATCTGTTGTAAGGTTTGTTCAAAGGGTTAACCTCTAAAATCTGTATGTACATCAACCATTCATTCATTCATTCTGTGTCAGTCACTGAAATCTGGGTTATACAGGTGTACCGCAAATCCTCTAATATTGGCCTGAATCAACCGGTCTCGCTGTCAGTGGGGGTAAATAAAGGCCGGTCTCTAATAGTGACTGGCTTTACGGCACAAACCTAACCACGGTTTTGATCATTTTTAAGTACTATTGATCTTAAAATATTTTCATAAATAGCGCACTTACCCACTGTTAATGAATTAGACTCTCACAAAACACGACGGCAAGTCTAAACACGTATAAACAATAGTCACTTCCCACTTCCTGTTCTCAAGTCCCGCGTGACTTTCCAAGAAGTGCTCAGTCGTGCGGCGCGTGCTGTGTGACCACTTGACTTCTCAAAATGGCCGCCAGTGTGCCCCAGGATTTATTTACTTTGTTGAATGGGTGTAAAAATGCCCAAATTTTGTGTGATTGGGACAAAAACAAGCATTTTTTTTTCATGTCCCGAAAGTAGTGCGCCACAAAGGACTTACTGAAACTTACTGAACGAAGACAGAATAGTGGACTGTAATCTTCGGCTGCAAGATGAGTAGAAATGGAACAGGAATGCTAGTTTGCAGTGATCACTTCCTCACAGATTCATTTCTTATTTAAGTAATATTAGTGTTACATTTGTTGCCAGTAAAAAAAAATCATAATTCCTTTTTTAATTTTAACATTTACAAAAACAAAGCATGCTGGGAAATCTATTCATCCACTCAGTTTAGTCCAGTTAGTTTAATCAGAATCGTCATCACCGACAAACCAACTTCAGTGGAGAGAAGCTAACAAGCCTTTAGCTTAGCGCCAATGTTCAGAGAACAAAACAAGAGAATAAAAGGCAGAGGCGGCCATTTTATCTTTTTAAAACATTTGTTGTGCTTAAATCCAGTTACTGCAGTGGTTCCGGTTCAGTTCATCTATCAGTGTGCCTTCAGATGCATCCGAAAATTTCCTTGTGAGAACAGAACGAAGATAGTGGATTTCCCTTTCATCAATATGTTTGCTGCATAGAAGAAACACAGATTCTAGCCTTCTGCTCCTGCTGCTGTGTGTGTGTGCGTACGTGCGTGCGTGTGTGCACACGTACGTGCATGTGTGTGTGTGTGTGCGTGCATGCATGTGTGTGTGTGTGTGTAAAACAGCTTTAGGGCACAAGGCAACTTAGTTTTCTGATAAATGTTAAATTTCGCTTTTTTTACTCTTTTCTTTACTTCACAATAAGCAGCTGGACATCGGTAGCCTGGTAAGCCAGACTATATAATTGTAATATTTAGTCTGACAACGCTCCATTGGCAGCTCTCATTTGTGGGGCGGGTTCTACCGTTGTCTTTCAGACGATCTCCCCATGCTACAGGACAATAAACAACGTGACGTACTCACTGCAGTGGATGTCAGTAAACGAGGCAGCTGTTGAAGAAGGCAAAGATGCACCCTTTTTTCTAAATAAAGGACTTAAATACTTCTATCTGCTCCTGATTCTAATAAAGTCCCAATAGCCTGATGTAAAAAGCGTTTCAAACTAGCTGTCACCATCTTGTTCCACTCTGTTGCATCATCCCACCCACCAGATGATTAGAGGGCCTTGATTGGTCCACAAAACGGATAAAGCGCTATGATTGGCCCACCATTATGGACCAATCACAGCTCTCTATGTGGTTTAAAACCCCTCTAGAGAGCTGTGATTGGCCAGCCAGAATGCTGCTAGGGGCTGTTGAAGTCTTGCGTTATATTATTGCATTAAGCCCAGTTTTTCTGCTGGAGCAGGGAAACAACTAAAACATGATGGATATGGAATATTGAGCTGGTGTAAAAAATTAGGCATCATTGTTTTTACTTCACTAGCTGGTGGGCCGGTGTCGGCTCAAAATGCCCGGGCTGATTTTTCATCCCAGTCCAGCCCTGCCTGAATGTGTCTGATTAGTTAATAAAGTTTTGTTTAGATTGATTTTCAGAATGTCATTATTTTCCTTGTAATTTTCAAAATAATATTATGGTAGGGAAAACCAACTACGACGAGGTGAGCTGAGTTATCCCACGCTGAGCTGTTTTAGGCTGAATGGTGCTGCCAGCGGTACTCAATAGGAGACCTGCGGGCCCTTCTTTGTGGCCCCGATCCACCAGCTAATGATTCTGTGTCATGGGGTCCAGAAAACCCTCTGGGTCTCTAAATTCAGACACTCTTCACATAATTCCACCTGGAACTTCCTGCAATCACACTGAAGAGATGTTCTGCCCCTCCTTGCTCTAATATCCGCTCATGGAGATGGAACATGTGGATGCTGTGACAGAATTCATTAAAATCTTCTAAACTTTGGTCTTCTGAGACACACCCAGTCTCATCGTGATATCTTGTTCTGTCAGAGTGAAGGTAGTAAAAACGTCTGCCAACTAGCAGTCGTAGTTTGAAGTGCAATACACAAAAGAAGTACTGTAGGTGTTTGCATGCAAATTCTTAATAAAAATGGATGCACTACTTTAAATACATCGATTCAGTATCATAACAAAAAATATGAAAACATTTCAGCGTAGGGATATTTTCATACATCTCTTTTCACCAGTAAGTATCTCCAATCACCCAAACCGTGGAAACCAGTGTACACCAGACGTGTTAGCCTTTCATTAATGATACTTTGATCTAAAATCATGGTAAAACACTCTACAGGAGTTTACAGTAAAATAATACTTTTAAAAGAGAAGTAAAGTTCTGAAAACACCTGTACATTTTGGGGGCTGGACCCAGACTTTTTAACATCGGTAACTCTTGGCAGTTAAACGCTGTTTGTCTTCTGTTTTCCAGGATGGTTGGGTGGGCTTCAAAGCTGTACTCCTGAACAAAAGACTCACAGCAGCTGATTTCTATAATGGATATTTGCATCAAACGTTTCAAAAGAACTCACCCAGCTGTACAGCTGAAGAGCGCTTTGTCAGTCCAAAAGAAGAAAACAAGGAGCTTCACAAGAGTGAGAAGTCACTGAGATGCAGAAACACATTTCATACTTAGCATATGAGTAAAAATATAAGAATTATGGACTTCAACCCTCTGTTTTGGGTTTTTGTATTATATTCATACCTGTAATAAAAATTGTTGAATAAGAAATTATCAGTGATGTTTCTTGTTGTACGATATTTTTAAGAGGACAACAAATTGAAATTAAAGTGTGATTTGTTGGTTATTTAGACTATCATAGTTTCCATTCCCTTCAGGGCAGCAGTAGCTCAGGAGGTTGAGCAGGTTTTCCAGCAATCAGAAGGTTGTAGGATTGATCCCGGCTACCACCAGAGAATACTGCTGTTGTGTCCTTGGGCAAGACACTTAACCCAACATTCCTGCCGGTGGTTGGAGGGACCAGTCGCGTCTGTATGGCAGCCACACCTCTGTCAGTGTCGGTGACTCTGGAAGGCGCTGTACAAGTGCGGGTCGGGTAGGTGAGCAGGAAGTATGCAATATGAGGCTGGAACATCATCATAGTGCAGTGAGGTGTCCTCTAACAGGATAATCTGGTGAACAGGAACCGCTTAGGAACCAGGGCTCTCTGGTGTCATTTACTGATGAATGCAAGGAAGCATGCTCCTGATGGAGATAAAGTGTCGGAGTATCCAGCTCATGCTGAAGCAGGAGTTTCTCTTCTGCTGCTCTGGTCTTCAAATGCCTCTTCATTTGCCTCTTTGAGGCCCTTGGAGCATCACCTTCTTCTGCCTGAAAAATTATAGAAAAAAAGGACATGGGTGCATGATTAAAACAGCGCTTCATCAGTAGCAGAATGCAACTATGGTTCATCAGAAGGGCTGGGCGACGTGGACCAAAACGTACATCTTGATATCTTTTAGCTGAATTCTGATATACAATAAACATCTTGATATTTTTCCTCCTGTAAAATATTCACAAGCTTAGAGCTGTGTTGAGAAATGATATACATAATCTCATCAGCAGATTACATTATAAAGGTATTGATTATTGCCAAAAATTACGCTTAAGGTAGTTTTCCAGGAACACCACTCAGAGCAACTCGGACGACGCAGCTCGGCCCGGCCGCTGTTCCCAAGGGCACGGCTCGGCATTTTTCCTCTACTCTCTCCTATTTTTGGTCCCTGCTCTGTTGAGGTACCTGGCAGGGCCAACATCATCACTCCGGTCACAGATTGGGTAGGGGGCGGGGTCACTGATTGCTCCGCCTGCAGCTATTTCCTGGTTCAGAGTCTGACAAAAAGCCATAAAACTGAGCTAAATGTCCAGCAACACCACCATGTTTGTGCCGAGTTGTATTTCTGAGGGGCATACAAGTTACCTTAAACTAAATGTTTTTGAACGTGGTAACATAACTTTTGTACGTCGTACATCCAGCCAATCATCTAGTGTGACATCATCGACAGGCGCAGGACTCCAAACCCCGCGCTCTATGTACTTTAGACCCGTTATGGTTATATGGTTTAAATTTGCAATGACTGGAGTTCGTTTTAATCATTTTCAACAACATTTCGATGGATGTTTTCAGAGATTAATGGTAAAAATGTGCATTGTCACTTTAAGGAAGACAGAACGGACTTCTCCATGTGTCTTTTGCCTCACCCACATGCTCAGAGATATTCTACATTCCTGAGAAGGCTGTGTGAACAACACCTGGACGTATGGGGCTGAGCCGACACTACCGACTGGGCCAGATGTTAAAATGCCAAAAGAATCAGATGGTTGCAGAAAATGGTGCAACATCAGACCATGACGTACGTACGCACACTCACTCAACAAGAACAGAACTGGATTCTAATAAAACATGTCAAACTTCATGGAACTTTACTAACTTGAGAAATGATATAAATCCTCAGCAGATTGCAATCATAAAAATGCATTGATTGTTGTTGAGCCCCGCTGTGAGGGCTGACGGTTCGTAAAACGCCAGGGCCGAATTCTGGTCCCAGTCCACCCTGGACGAGTACATTAACCTTCCATTAAGGGTAGGTTGGATTTTGCTACATGTAAGTCTTGTGCTTCCAACATTTAGTCTTTCAGTTTGTGCTGTAATCCTGCAGCAGAGGTGATTTTATTACATAGGAGGTTGTGTAGCAAGTAATCACCCTAAACCATAGTCTAGGACATCACTCAGCTGCTGTGGTCCAAACCTCACAAAGTGAGAAACAGAACTGAATTGCTAGTCCCTGATATGTCCAGTCTCATAATCAGGTGAGGACGAGGGAGGAGCAGCACTCCCCCTTTCATTCCCTCTAACCAACAGGCCTTATCACCATCAATCTGACACCATGTTTATCTGACAGTGAAGGCAAATCTGCTGGCCTGGGAGAAATGTATACAAAGAGCATTGGTCATCAGCACTTTAATTGTTGTAGTCCTAAAGGTCGAATGGGCTACTGGCCCATATATCCCTGCACCCCCCTTTCCACGACCCCCATGTCATGTTTGTCTCAGAACGTTGACGGCTAGTCTGAAGGCTGGCTGGACTTTTATGTCTCTGTTTCTTGTTACTTAAAAGCTCGTTTCTTCAGCAAAACTCATTTGTGTTTTAGTTTGTGAGTTTTAGTGTATGGAGCAGTTTGCAGGGAGTTGTTCTGCTCATTTGTTTGTTTTTTAACTCATTATAAGCAACTCCTAGTCAGCTGAGCTCTACCAGGACATGTTAAATGAGTAGTGTCTCATTCTTGTTATAAAAGAAGACAAAGACGAGCTTTTGCTAACATGGCCTCTTTTAAACTGGATTTTCTCCCAGAGATGTTGGTGGATCATTGCTCTTTGAGTCCTAATCCCAGGTAAGCTGCTTTTTTAACTGTTTCCTGTGTTTTTCAGTTGCACCCCTGTGCTTGTTGGAGTTCATTTCTTGTTTTGGGTTCATTCTATTTTTTCATTTAGTGTTTCCACAAAACAACATAGTTTAATGTTGTCTTAGATGTTTTAGTTTCTTTAGAGTTGATTTACCTCAGTTGTTTGTAAACAATATTTTAATTTAAATAATTTTGTTGTATCAAAAGGAGACTTGTTGATTTCTTGACCACTTTTGGCTAATTAAATGAATGAATTTTCTTGCATAACAATAAAAAAGAACCAGATCATTATTAATCAGAAGCCTTATGAAAATAAAAACCTTTTAAAAGAAGATTTTTATGAAATGAATTTATATCTAGTTGTAGATATAAAGGGTGTGTGGCGGGGGGTTCACTCAGCAGAAGCAACTGTAACCCCTACTTCATACTGGAAACCTCAGTGGAGCGGAACGGCAGCAGAATGATGTACTCGGGTTTGGATACTAGATCCACCTCCATGGATCCACTTTTCTGTCTGTGCATTTAACTACTGGTTGGTCAGATGCTGCGTGTTGGCAATCATTGCAGGAACATGCACGGTATTGACAAACTCATCTCTTGTTTTCCTCTCCTGTTTCCCGGGCTGGACGGGAACTAACGGTGCTAGGTGCGTGGTGCACTTCAGGGCAGCATGGCCTTTGGGCATTTGGAGAGAATGTGCCATCATGCACAAAATTAACCCCCTCTTGGAGCATGTATTGTGTGTAATGGGAGGGGAGGGACAGCGGTGCTGGGGGGGGGGGGGGTGGGGGGGGGGGGGGGGGGGGGGGGGGGCTGTGGATGGCTGCTCTTTACTCTGCGGCGGAAATCTGCCGGCACTCATACGTATGCTGAGAGGTTGGCTTTGCGCTTTTGCAGAAATATGTTACTATCCTCCTTAATTTTCCAAGCACTGCTGACACAGCTACCAACTGCAGGGCTTTTTGTGAGGACAAATTAAGTGCATGCATCGTGCATGTGGCTTCCAATAGTGTATGGCTGCAGACTCAGAGACCCCAGATTCAGGCCAACTGCAGATTCAAGCCGACTGCAGATTCAGGCCAATTGCAGATTCAGTCCGACTGCAGATTCAGGCTGACTGCAGATTCAAGCCGACTGCAGATTCAAGCCGACTGGAGATTCAAGCTGAGTGCAGGTTCAGGCCAACTGCAGATTCACGCCGACTGCCGATTCAGGCCAATTGCAGATTCAGGCCGACTGCAGATTCAGGCCTACTGGAGATTCAAGCCATCTGCAGATTCAAGCTGACTGAAGATTCAAGCCGACTGCAGATTCAGGCCGACAGCAGATTCAAGCCAAGTGCAGATTCAGGCCGAGTGCAGATTCAGGCCAACAGCAGCTTCAGGCCGACTGAAGATTCAAGCCGACTGCAGATTCAGGCCGACTGCAAATTCAAGTTGACTGAAGATTCAAGCCGACTGCAGATTCAGGCCGACTGCAAATTCAAGTTGACTGAAGATTCAAGCCGAGTGCAGATTTAGGCCGACTGCAGATTCAGACCAACTGCAGATTCAAGCCGACTGCAGATTCAGGTTGACTGCAGATTCACGCTGACTGCAGATTCAGATTGACTGCAGATTCAGTCCGACTGCAGATTCAGGCCAAGTGCAGACTCAGGCCGACTGCAGATTCAAGCCGACTGCAGATTCAGGCCGAGTGCAGATTCAAGCCAACTGCAGATTCAAGCCGACTGCAGATTCAGGCCAACTGCAGATTCAGGCCGACTGGAGATTCAGGCCGAGTGCAGATTCAAGCCAACTGCAGATTCAGGCCACCTGGAAATTCAAGCCGAGTGCAGATTCAAGACGAGTGCAGATTCAAGCCGACTGCAGATTGAGGGCGACTGCAGATTCAGGCTGACTGCAGATTCAAGTTGACTGAAGATTCAAGCCGATTGCAGATTCAGGCCAACTGCAGATTCAGGCCGACTGCAGATTCAGGTCAACTGCAGATTCAGTCCGACTGGAGATTCAGGCCGAGTGCAGATTCAAGCCGACTGCAGATTCAAACCGACTGCAGATTCAGGCCGACTGCAGATTCAAGCCGACTGCAGATTCAATCCGACTGCAGATTCAGGCCGACTACAGATTCAGGCCAACTGGAGATTCAAGATTAGTTAGAGCTGTTGCATTGGGTCCTGGGTTCACTTCCCAGCCTGGGATCTTTCTGCATGGAGTTTGCATGTTCTCCCTGTGCATGCGTGGGTTTTCTCTGGGTACTCCGGCTTCCTCCTACAGTCCAAAAACGTGACTTTTAGGTTGGTTGTTCTGTCTAAATTGTCCTTAGGTGTGAGTGTGTGTGCATGATTGTGTCCTGTGTGTCTCTGTGTAGCCCTGTGATGGACTGGCACTCTGTCCAGGATGTACCCCGCCTTATTGCCCATTGACCACTGGAGATAGGGTTAGGGTTAGGCTCCTCAATCCAATGCAGGACGGAAATATCAGCAAATCCTTCATTTCTGCAGCCATTAGGATTTTAAATCTTCTACAAGTGCTGGAGGAGCTGCCAGACATTAATTGTCCTATGGGATCAATAAAGTTCAATTTTATTTATCTTTGAGATAAAATGTAAATCAAAACAGCATCTTGTGGAGTTCTGAAATGACGAATACACTTTATGCACGTTTGTTTTATAAACTGTAATTATTTAAAACCCAGCAGATGTTCTACTATTTTTTTGTTTGGATGGTCCCGGTAGGCCGTGGTGTGGGAGTCCATAGAGGAAAGAAAGATATTGAGCAAACAAAGTAACTGTTTTAATTCTTTCAGAAAATAAGAGCAATTTCATACTTTAATGAAACTTCATTCACAATCAATGTAATACTTTATGTTTAATTTGCCAAAATGTAAGTGATACAATCTAACTTACCCCTGGATCACATCAGAGGCTGAAGCACGTGGAAAGATGAGCGTTTCTATTCGCCGCCCTTGTTAACCTCCGGCCTCGATCACGTCAGCTGCAAAGCGCCGCAACGCGAGCCTTCGTCACGCTTTGCGGCGTGTGCTCTATTTTTATTTTTTTCTCCCGTGTCCTGTCTGGCTGTGAAGCAAACAGAACTGATGTCTGAATGCTGGTGACAAGTCTTACAGATTTACTCTCAGATGGAGCATCAAAGCTTCTGCTTTAATGTCACGCCTGATACTTAAAACTTTATTATGATTGTTTTTTGAATACTTTGTAATTCTGACCAGAGACGGAGACAGAGGTGAAAGAGAAAGGAAACGACAAAAAGGGGGGGGGGGGGGGGTGTCACCTGTGTGTGTCCATGTGCTTGTTTATGTAAGGTTTCTCTATAGGACCGTCCAATAGAGAGCGTGAGAGGTCACAGATCTGCCCCCAAAGATGTGTAGGAGAGGGAGGGAGCTCCAAGTCCCAGAGATCCAGGAGCTGTCCCAGAGCATAGGGACCCCAGGGAGACTGTAACCAGAAAAGCCCCTGCCCCCTCTTGAAAGGCGCAGAGGATTGCCCCGGGGGGCCACAAGCCGCAGCTGGCAGAGTCCCGGGAGATATCAGCAGCAAGCCCACAGGCCCGCCCGCAGCCTCCCACCCCCAAGCCGGCCGAGCCCGGAATCCCGGGACCCAGGGGCGACCAGCCTCGCCGGGGACCCAACAGAGCCCAGGGAATCAGGTCCCACCAGGCAGCCACCGGGATCGATCAGGCAGACTCCAAAAATCTTAAACCGCCTGATCCAGGCGTCACAAATGTGGCAAATGAGGCAGGGGGAGGGTAGGCGAAGATGCGTAGTAGCACAAGAAGTCCGAGGAGAGGAGAGGAGTCCAAGACCCCACTTGACATATACAGCCATGCACAGACATGCTCACACATACACATACAACCTAAGACTTAAAAAAATCAAAGCTAGACACCCACTCACGATCCCCATACACACCTTATTCACTCTGGTCCCGGTACTGCTGCACAATGGGTACAACCATCACTGGTTCCCAGAATTTGCCCCTTTCTGCTGGGGGTGATGATGAGCAGGCACCCCAGCTCAATGCTGAGCAAAGCATCCCACCACCCCAGACCCCAACATGACGGCCAGCTCCCCCTCCAAGCCTCCAGCCCCGGGAAGCCAAGCGACAACAGAGGTGTGCTAAGACCCCTAGGCTTCCTCTGCCTGCTTCAATACAGTGTTAGTGCGTGTTGATGAGGTGTATTCCATGGCTGTGGTGAGCAGGCAGTACAGGTATCGTCTGGCCTACGCCAGCTGATGCAACCACACAAGCCCACTCCCTCCACAGCCCTCTGTGTTTAAGCGCAGTTTAAAATTGGAAGTGGGCACCGGCACGCGGGATGAGGCTGAAAGATCCCCTTTCCAAATGCAGTTGATTGTGCTCACTCCCAAGGCCCTAAGTGTATGTTTGCGTGGAATGTCGTTGGTGGAAGTGTTTAAGGTGCAAATAAAATTAGGGGGCAGGCAGCCACAGGAATGCGGAAATGGTATCCATAACCGCACCCCTGACTTGCCCACCCCCCAAGGTCCTATGTGCATGATTGTGTGATGATGTGAAGGAGCAGCAGGAAAATATTGTGTGGGGATGGGGAGGAATGGCTGGTTGGCCTAAGCCCTCAAGGGAGCCAGCTCCCCCACTGACCCCAATAGGCACCTCCGTTCCAAAAATGCCCCCCCCAGGGCATGGAGACCCCAGCCCATCTGCCAGGGCCCAAAGCAGCAGCATCTCAGAGCCCCAGGGAGTCCGAGGGCACCAACCCAGCCCCATCCCAGCAAAATATCTACTCCCATCCCTGCATTTGCACAACTTCCAGAATATTTAAGACATGAGACATCCTGGTAAGGTTGGGTCCTCCCCCTCCTGGACATCGCCCTCCCCGTGATGGGACAGAGTTGTTATTATTCCAGAGGAGCCAAAGTCCACCTGAGGCCCTTGAGCCTCGGTCATGCACTGCCCCTTGCTCTTGCCTTCTTCATGGCAGCTTACGAGTC